AGCGCGAGTGCGTGTGCAATTACCAGTCAGTGCTAGAACGCTTTGCTTTAATTGCTTTCCGCAAAGCAGATCTTTAAATAGGTGTTTCCCGGTACTTTTTAACGGGTATCGCGCATTAAAACATTTTTCAAATACACATAAACTGTACTGTAATGTACATACACACCTAAGAGCGTACATCATTTGCAGTACTCAGGGATGAGTGTTAGGCAAAAGCGTATGTCTCGTATACAGAGTTATTGCAGATAATAAAATAGCATACTAAAGACTATGTTATGGCATAAATGACCTCCAACCACCCCCATCATCGGCTCGTATACACATATGTGTTTATTCCTTTTGAGTCATTTAGGTATTTTTTTTTTTTTTTTCTTTTTATATTTTGTCCTGATTATGCGTTCGCTAAACACTTGTGTTGCTTATGTGTTTTGCAATTTTTATTTTTTTCGCATTTTTTATACCAACTCTCGCTTTACGTTAATGTTCTGCGCATTTTTCAATCTTTCCGTTTAGTGTATTATTGTTGTTGCTGTTGTTGTTTTTTGTATTTTTAACGTTCGTTTTATCTTTTTTTATTTATTCTTTCGTTTTTGTCAAACATTGTGTCATTTAAAAACTTTGTAACGTCTGCTTTGCTTTGCTAAGCTTGGTAAAGAAAAAAAAAAAAAAAAGAAGAGAAATAATAATAAAAAAAATAAAAAAAAAATACTTCAACTTCCGCTGGTCATTTTTATTGTGGCTCTCAGTTATCCTTTTACAGACCTCATTTTTAAAAATGTGTGTGGTGGCGGACATACATTAATACGTTTTATTTTCCGAGTTAGAGTCAGAGATATGTCGAAAGAATTTCATATATTTTTTATATTTATTTCTCAGCGAGCTGGAAATTGTTTTTTTTTTTCTTTTAAATTTCCCTAACATTATTAACATTTTTGCAAATCCTTTCTAGCCTAACAAGGACTTATTAAAATCATAATAAATTCACGCTAATGCTTGAAAGTATCGAGGTCGTCACGTTTTGAACTATATTTTCAAAAAATAATAATTCAAAGCAATTTCTGAAGACTGCAAAGTTACAGAATTTCCGATATTTACATCACTCTGCAAAATATCTATTTCCCATCCATATCTTCTATTGTGTTAATTGTTTGGATTCCAAATTGTTCTTTTTTTGTGGCAGGCTAACTCCTTAATTAATTTGCAAAATGGAGGTGAAAAGTGGTATCAACCAAAAAAGAATATTTGCGAAGTTTTATAATATAATAAAACATTTTAAATTATGTAATGCTGAGGGTACCTCGATGTAGATGTTGATGTAAGATATACGATGTCGGCACACAATCGACATAGGATGGAAAAGGGCTAAGGTGTTCATAGGTTGCAGTTATTTAGATATCTTGGGTGGGTTTCCTGTCGCGCCTTCATTCAAATGCAACTAAGAAAGTTATATTCGCCGGGGGCCGAATCCCGCGTACCCAACACTATGCTTTTCGCACTCTACTCTCCATGTTCTCTCATTTGATACCCATATCGCTGTTTTTATTAAGAAAAAATTATTCTACCAGGTCCCGGTGTCTATCGTATTCATTTTAGAATGAACCCATTTTTAGGCAGATAATATATCAATATTTGAAGATTGTACAAAATAGTCTTAAACATTTTGCCTTGTTTGCCTTACGATAAATAAGCATTAAAAAACGTCAAAAAAATGGAAAAAAATATCATTTAATCGCTTGTAATCTTGTGTGGGCATGGCCGATGTTTTCCATTTTTGTACGTAAAAAGTAGAGTGTTTCACAAACTAAATGTGGAAAATTTCAGCCTTCTAACTTTTATGATTTGTGAGTAACGAGTAAAAACCCACAAATTTTGGTTATAAAAGAACGAAGCTGCGTTCAGTTTATGCTCCATTACAGGCTTTTGCTCGGACCAATTTGGCACATTTTCAATACCAACCTGCATGCAAAGACTTCCAGTGTTTCTACCGAATTAGAAGACGATATCTTCTTTTTGCAATCCAGGGGAGTGCCAACAACACACATCGCACAGACACACAGACGGACAGACGTGACTAAAGGAATTCAAAATCTCACGCTGATCGAGAGTATACATTCTTTTGAGTGTTACATACATTATGGAAAAAAACAAAATGAGTTTACCCCGATCTTACAGTGGTGGCTATAATAAAACTTCATTCTATGACTATCAGACTATCAGAGGAGAATATACATGACAAATGGCGCCTTTCTATGGCTAGTTTTGGAATGTCGAATGTTCTAATAGATAGGCAAGCAGGCAAACGGACTCTAATAACGGACTCTTCAAAAGAAATGATATTATTTCATTTTACGATTGCGGCCATATTTTCAATGTCAACATTATTCTGCCTTTATCAGTCCTATTTCCTAAGGGTTGGACCTTAATCGCGCGAGCAAGAAAAATCATCCAAATTTTTCTCCCAAAGTAGTAGTTTTTATATTGCAAGATTTGGTGCACTATTGTCAACTTATGATCACTGTCGTAATCGTCCTACTACTGTGCTCCCTTATTTGTCTTTTTTTTTTATAAACAGTCGCTTGTACTCTTTACGAAGGGAGAAAGAAGTAGAGAGGGACGGATAGAGCGCGACAGCAACTTGGGAGATACCCGATCGTGTACTACGCTAGCCAAGGATATGTATATGTGCACTTCTTGGGATTTCGATCAAAAATGTATACGAATATGCTTCGATGATGTTCATAAGATTATTGGTATTACGGTTAATACTTGGCAATGTGCATTGTTGTTGCTAAAGAAATTACCATTTTCCTTTCATTACGTTCTCACTAATTACTCACGATTTATGCCAAATAAGCTGAAAATTGTCAGAGCCATAACTGAAAGAATCGAATCAAGACTAAAGCCCAATGCATTTATTTTTTATTGCTTTTTCCTATTAATATTTAAATGGGCTCAGGGTAGAGCGATTAATATTTAAATGGTTTCTTTAGAGATCCTTAATTAAGATTTCTTAAAAGAATTCTAGATAGAACAAAAGCTAATAAGAACGATAAGACGAATACTTGCTATTATATAAGAAAAATAAATAAATCACCTAAAAACCATGTCCTTCGAAATCTTCTTAATCGTTACATTGTAGACTTATACTCAATTTTAATTATATTATTTATCTGAGCATTGAAAATTAAAATTCTTACTCAATTAAATGCTAATCAGAACTCGTTTAGATTACGTCGATTTTGTTTTTTTTTTTTTTTTTTATTTGTTATTTTCTTCAGGAAGAACTTTAGGATAAGAATTGATAAAACGTAAATAAATAAACAAACATAAAAGACAAAAAATAAATATTTGATTGGCAGACAAAAGTGTATAACGATAATTAATAGAATTTGTGCAAAGAATCTCTAATAAGTAAAGTAAGCAACTCGGGGGGAAAACAATGATAAAACAAGTTAAAGGAAAAATAAAAAGTAACTTTTGAATTTTTTTAAAAACAAAATAATTAATAGATGAGCTTATGGACGAAATCTTAACATTATTTTATAAGACAAGATTACGTAGAAAGAAAAATGTAATTATAGATCACATTTACAGTTCGTAAAAGTTATTACAAAACGGTTTTATATATATATGCTATATATAAAGCAAAAGATTTCAATAAAAATGATGACTTCGTAAGTTAATCTATGTAAGCCCAGTCTTCTTTCATAAGTGAAAAAGAAGAAAAAGCACTGTAGTGACGCACGGCCCACCACTAAATATCCTACAACACATCGCTTGGTACAGTCGATTATGCAACGACTTTTTAAAATAAGGATAAGTTACAAAAATTTAGTTGAGTTTTGATGACAAAACGCCATGGCCTTTAGTTATGCAACATGATTCTTTTAGCCTTATTAACGAACAAATCAATTAAGTGATAATGATCGTTGAACATTTTACACATTACCCGAACGGATAGTGGTTGCAACAAGCAAAAAGTGTCTTGAGAACCTATTGGGGATTTGAATATTAATAAGTTCTAATAAAGCCGGCGAAAAAACCTCTCCTCTTATTAGCTTAAAGACGAAGGTTACACTCAGAATTTCAAGGGCACGCAAGTCAGTGACCTTCAACCTATTATTATATGGTGGAAGAGGTAGCGCAGCGTCAAGATCAGCATGGCATCAATGCCTAGGAAGCCAACGAATAATCAAAAGAATTACACAAGAACTTCGTGACGCATGGATCATTGAATTCTTTAGACCATTTTTTTTATAAACCCTAAAAGGACACTAGATATATTAACTGAAACTTCTATATGAATGTCAAACTTGAGTTTTGAGTCCAAAACAAACATTTATTGCAAACATTTTCTAGTATGTGATTGTCAGTAGGTTAAACACATAAGAGATCTTCTTACATTTTTTATCCTAACCAATAAATTTTAGATCACATAAGGAGAGATTACCGACAGACGGACTTATGCAATTGAATAAACATTTCTATGCAATTTGAATAAATATTTTGTATTTTATTTTCCCCCAAAAAAAATTTGAAGAGAAAACAGTCAACAGAAGCGAACTAAAGAAAAGAGGAATAGTATCATGCGTGGCAAATTAGAATTTTTATCTGTATTTTCTCTTTGTGTTAAGGACATCACATTATAAACGCTTAATTACGTTTGCATTCGTTTTGAAGAAGGAATGAAAATGAGCACTTACTTTACATGTTAAGAGCGATGTTGTTTATACTTAATTTGTCTTTCTTTTTTTTTTTTTAATTTTTCTTTTCCTTACGCTTGGAAACAAACGCCTGTTTTTAATTTCGTTTTTGCTTTCCTATATATACATTTTTTATTTATTTATTTATTTATTTGTTTATTTTTTTTTTTTGTCTTTCGCAATGACATTTTAAGACGTCTGTAAATTATACCGGTAATACCTAAGGGATTTAAAATCTTAATTTTTATCATTTTGTTTTCGTTTTATTCTCATTTAAAAAAAAATGTTGTGTTTAAGAAAAAAAATTATTTAAATTATGTAATAAAAAGAAAGAAAATTATAACCAGTTTTAGGCGAAGCTTTTCAATATAATCTGCACAAGAGTTCTATTAATTCCGACAGTGTTAGCTGATCATTCAAGACTAATATGCGTTAGATCAATATCCATTCTCTGTTACGTTTTCCGGTCTTGCAATCGACTCACATGTCGAATAGGGTTTTCTTTAATTCAATTCCACTTTTATCTAATGGCAACCCTTTGAGCATTACTGCTGAAAATCGAATGAATGCTAAAGCAACTGTTTGAGAATATATTTACGAAATCTTCAAAAACAAAAAAATAGCAGCTTTTAAGCGAAATTCACCAGTTGGTAGAGGAATTCAAAATAATGGGGAATATGAATGAACCTTGGCCCAACGATGCTGTACTTTATCAGCCATTTGAAGACGAGCAGATTTTACTTGCGGAGAAAGCCAGTTGTTCAGCTGTGAAAGCGTACCTGAGAATGTGCAATCTGCCCTACGACGTACAGTTCCGTGCTAATGCCGAGTTTATGTCTCCGGGAGGTCAAATGACAAAGCTGCCGGTATTAAAAGTTAGCGGCTTCGTATTAGCTGAATTTGAGCCCATAGTTAACTTTGTAGAGCAGAGAAGTGAATCTATTAGCAGGTGGATGATGGAAGATGAGAAAACGGAAATGCGTTCCTTTATCTGCCTGATAGAGAATACATTTACTTTGGCTGAAATGTATTGCAGCTTTATGCTGAAAGGTGTCTACGATGAGGTTACAGCTCCTCGCAATGGTTGCGTGTTTCCATGGCCATTAAATAAAATTCAAAATTTATCCAAACGTCATCAAGCAGAGAAAATGCTTAAAATTTATCAATGGACAGATATGAATTTCGACGATGTACTTGAAAAAGTAAGCACTTGTTGTAGATATCTCGAAATGAAATTAGAAGAAAGTTTTGGACCCTATTTCTACGGCGAAAGGCCGTGCGAGTTGGACGCTTTAGTTTTTGGTCATTTGTCTTCAATCCTTACGACAAATTTACCGAACAACGGTATAGCGCAAACTGTCGGGCAATTCAAATTACTGATGCAAGCCGCCCGATTCGTGGAATATAAATATTTTCAAAAAAAGTCCTTTTAATAAAAAAATATCTTTTGTGGTTATTTCTTAAAACAATCCCATTTGCATATAAATTTCTTGTCTAAATTTTTCCTATAAATTCCCCCGATAAAAATACATTTTTTCTCCTTATATTCTATATTTTATTTTCTATCGGTTTCGTTTTCTGCTCCAAGTGAAGTAATGCTTCAAAGAACGTGAACATTTCGAATAAAAGGAATTGATTCCGTTCGATGAGTGAGGTAGTTAAAGAAAGCGGTTTAATGAAACAATATTTCGCTTCTTTCATTTACCCCATAAGGTATGTTTTTGCACAATAAAATTCCGGTAATTATAAAAAAGGTGTAAAACTATATGTCACGTATACTAAAGTATTGTACTCCAATACAAATTTAATTTCTTCTTGTTTGAGTTCTCTCCGTCTCCAATTTGAATAAATTGTACAATTTGTGGTGCATCAATATTAAAGCTAGTACAACGCCAAAGAATCAGTAAGCTGATGTCTTCTCATTTCAATAACAATGCGGTTCCCTATGACTGCTAAATTGTGGTATGGGTTTTCCAGATTAATCAGGAAAGAACGGATTATTACACGTAACCGTTAAACGCAATGATCTACACAAAAACAGTATTTTAAAAAAATTATATCAACCCACCACAGCGAGACAAGGCCTACCAATAAATAGACAAGATCGCTTTGCTTAATACAGTTATTCGTATGTAGGCGATTTTCGAAGCAACGTCACATCGTTCATCCTGGACCGAAACATGACGATGGACCAAATTTCATCAAATATCTCAATACTTGTGTGATCTTTCAGCTTAAACATACGAAAACCGAACGTAAAGACGGACAACAGAGCTTAGATTGATTAAGAAAGTGATTTTTAAAAAATGTTCTTATCCGGCATCCTTCTGGATGTTACATGCATTCAGATAAACTTCATATAAACTTATTATATAATTGTATTGCAAGTGGTGTAGACAGCTTTTGCCGCAGTAAAAACATTTTCTTAGAAGACCTCCTTGTTCCTAGCAGTAGTATACTACAAATCTCATCGAATTGATTTTAAAATTGTGTTACGCAAAATCTTAGTGGATGCATTAAATGTTAACGTTTTATTAACCTGCTCGTATCAAGAAGAAAATTATTTGCGCTACGAAAGCTAGGCTTCGATAGACTTACAATCAAATAAGACATAGCACTTTTTAAAATTAATTGGGACGACGCAGCTCTTTGATAACGTAGCCTATAACGATGAGCAAAATGATGGGAAAAGTACTGACGACGACGCAGGGCATGGTCTTCATACGATAACAATCGGATTTTGCGACGTGTATGGTGCGCCTTGGCCTACCTGTAATCTTCTGCGCTTGTAATTTCCAAAATAAGTCCACCTTTCATTCCCAGTGACGAAGCAAAAGCAGTTCTCATACCGTTTAAGCTAAAAAACATTACCGGCAAATTCTCTTTATTTGCTTTAAATTACGAAGTATTGAACACAACCGAGCAATGCTATGCAAGCACTTCTTCAATTTACAAACAAAACGCCGTACATATCTAATATTTGTACTGCCCACTGTACTGGCCAACTGTATGTTGTCAAATCCGCGCTTCGTGTTTCTTTTAATTTTCTGACCAGCGTAATGTTCAGCCTGGAGATAGTGATTCTTGTCGGACTTCGATTATCCATCACCATCTTACTACATTTCATGGTGGGCAGAATCGAGATACGTAGATGGAGCTTGGTGCGTTCGTAGCAAAGTCCTCTACGTAAACGTTAAAGTCAAGGACGACTTTAACAGGCCACCTAACGTGACATTTTATTGCGATTTTCCCCTTGAGATTTGAGGTTGATTGGTGTATTCACCCAAGCATTAGCATAATATTTTTGACTTTAGGAACTTTATTCAATTGCAAGTAGGATTCATTAGATCGAGAAAGAAAATATTTGTAAAATAATTCATTCGAAAGTAAAAATACGCAAACACAAGCCAGGTCGGGTAAGGGGTATAAAACTTCAACGCATACGTTTTACTCCTAACAATGAAATGATGGGCGATTCTACGGTGGTGGACTCTTCAATGATTATTTGTTTTTTTTTTTTAAATAAGGCACAATTTCTTGTAGTATTAATGAGAAATATCGTTCTGTAAAAAGGTCAAAGTATATAATTTATTTTTTCTTTTTTTTTTTTAATTTTACGTCTCTTTTAGTATACCATTGTATGTACAATGCTTTGCTTATTCATAATCATTGCTTTCTTAAGCTGTGGAGCAGACAACTTTTTTGTTAAAAACAAAACAAAAAAGAGAATAACTGAGAGAAAAGTGTAACAAAAAATATTTATTTGGCCTTGAGACGAATTTTCGATACCCACCAAATGATGAAAACATTAATCATTTTTGACAGACTATCAGGTGTGCTTTTAAACATCTCTTAATGTTCGTTAGAGCATAGATTAAAATATATAAACAAGTACACAAACAACAAACAGTGACTTGAATTTTTAGTTATATCATCTAATTCGATTCATATTAGAATAATTTTTGACTCCTTCCACCTGATAGACTTGGTGGGAAGAAATTCTTATCAGCAAGTATAGGTAAGGTGATCACAATTTTTCGACAGAGAGAACTAGCTTAGGTATCTATATTTTTACTTTTCATTTTTAGCAACTGTTGACTTTAAACACTTTAACTCTACTTTCTGAACTGCTTTCATTTCAATAATCAAAAAGCAATCCAAACGAATACAATGGACATACAACACAAATAAATTACAAACTTATATTCGGCTGTGACCGAATCAATCATACCCATCATCGTTCTCTCAAAAGAAGTTAAATTTTGCATATTCTATAATCTTGGCTGGACGTGGGTGTTTTTTTCTTTACTGCAGAAAAAATTTGGGAAAACCCAAAAAGCAAAAGTATTTTTAGTTTATGTTAGACGTGCCTCTTCTAGTTTCCTATTTCACGATCTTCATGCCTCTGAATCTCACTGCAAACAAGTTGCACATTACGAAAGAGGAATTTAACATACTTGTTAACTTGTTGTTCTTACCTCTGACTGATGAAGAAAAAAAAAAAAAAACAGTGTAAATTATACCAATAAATGTAAATACAAAAAAGGGTCCAGTTTTTCTCTTTCACAAAAGAATCTTCCACCTCTTACTTGTAAAGAAAAAAAATCCTTTCTTTTTTTTTTTTCTTTTTTGTTACCAAACAAGTACATTTTGTAATTTATTTTTTAGATAATTTGACATAACTTTCAAGGGATTTATTTATTTTTTTAAGACACAAAGTAAATGAATAAAAAAGGAAATAAAATCGGTAACAATGATATATATTTCTTAGTTCTCATAATTTAAGTTCTATTTTCTAATTATTCTGTGAAAAGCCATTAATTTTCTCCAAAAAAAAAAGGATATTTGACTTGAATTCGCTCGTTCCGTAGGAGAGGGGTTATTATTTTTATTATATTTATTTTAATTTTGTGTACGCTTTCTCTCCTAATTACTCCCGTTGTTTATGAGTTTTAATATAAAAATAATTTTTATTTTTTTTTCCTGAAAGTGATGATGCGAAAAAAGTTTATTTATATTGAAAATAAATTTTCTATAATTTTCGTATACCCTATGCAGAGAGCGTGTGATATTGTGTTTTGCAAAAACAAAAGCATTTTATATAAAATTTAATTACACTATGTTATGAAATTTATATGACAGGCTTATAGTATAGTATATGCCACACACACACACACACACACATACACACACAGGCATACATATACACATTCACACTTGCACACACGCGAGCTTATTTCATTATCAACGTAGCTTAACCTCATATCTACAAAGCATGGAAGCTTATCTACAGGGATCTATGCAAAGGTAACTTAGGTACATAGATGCACAACGTGAACGTACGGTAAATATATTCATAGAGAATTTGTTTTAGTTGCAAATAAACCACATTTAGTTTATTTAGTTTTTAGTTGGCTTGGGGATTAATTATTATACAGCTATGCCGCTATCGGGAAAAGTGGATATGAAAATTTTGTCATTCTATTTGCAAATGCCCAGAAGTATTTATCAAAACTTTGATAAATGCAATCTTAAATGGGAACAAAAACAAGAACAAGAACTAGAAGAGCCGTTTAAATTAACCTCCGAGAAAAGACTAAACCCAACAAAATTTGAAAAAAAATATGCAGATTCCTTTTTATATAATTGGGGACAACTCATGGCCGAGTTTATGCTCAAACACATATTTGACTTTTTAAGGGTAGTATTTTCGAATTTCCAATCACTCGGAGTTTTTCCAATCCCCTTGCAATAATGCTACATACCGTGATAGTTTGGCAACTGTAACGTTAGCAAGCCGATTTTGGGGTTTGCACAAATTTATTTTTCAGAGCTAGGTAAATGCTTATCTCAAACCGTTTCGGCCGGTAAATTCAAAATCGAAAGCATTTTAGAAATTGGAATTTCAAAAGTCCATGTACTTTCGAATTTCAACGCAAACGTAATAACTTATTGAAGGAAATTTCTATTATGAAAATATTTAGACGTAAACTTAATATACACACATTCTGCAGATATATGCATATATTTATTCCTGGACAGATGTAAATATTCATCTATTCGTATACAGAAAATATTTATTAAATGCTAGTAAATTTAATTGCATCGTTTAAAAGTTTTTAAAATTGTATTGTCACAGGAAGCAAAGGGTTTTTTTTTTTATTAATAATATATGTGAGAGCAAAACTTAAATATCGGTGAAGCATATGTGACAAGAATGCTTAGTGTTGGGTTATATTACTTGGAAAAATTGAAATTCATATAATTTATACAAGATAATAAGAAGTAAGGTGAAGTGGACTAGGTCTGAATAAGATATCTATCGGCTTATCGTCTAATAATCATATTTTCTTAAATTTGAAAATGTTAATGCGGTTTTGTATATGTTCTGCATATTTTGGTCAGGTGTAAGCAATAGTTTTTGGATTTTTGGTAC